CCAGTGAAATATATTTATGTTTGTGGTTGTAATGTGACAAAATATGGAAAAGTTCAAGGGGTATGAATACTTTTGCAAACCACTGTAATTAGCTTTTGCTAAATGTTTCAGTGCATTAGTGCTTTAGAATTCGGGGACCTAAATATTTGAGTTAGTGCTTTAGGGTTAGTGCAACTAATATTTAGATTAGTGCTGCCCACCACTGCTGTAAGGGTTTAAGACTTTTGCTCCATCTTTACTTGGGCGATAACGAGTTGTAACCGGAACGTCTTCCAACTTTGTGTTTGACTAAGTGAGGCTTGTATTTTGTTGATTCTTTCACTCTTTCATGAAATGCTGCAAATATTTGTGAACATTTACTGTACATCTACACTTCTAGACATGCAACATTAGGATTCATATATTCATCTTTAAATTCACAGTCACACATATGTGTAAACCTGTGACTCCTCTAATTAACAAGGCTATAACAGCTTTTAAAATTAAAGCAAGTCACAGAGCGCAGCAGGAATTAAAGCCACAATAGTGAGAGTGTATCCAGGGCCTTGGTTTTGATATAAAGTCTCATGGCCTTGCCACCGCTGCCCTCTATGTTAAAAGATCGTTTTGACAGGAAAATTACTTTATGAACCTCTGCAATACTCCAACACTTCATCTTCCTTTTTAGCTTCACCAGTAGTCGATAAGAGACCCTTTTTTCCACGTCACACCAGACTGGCTTTTATGTTATCAGTTTCTGACCCTGTTCTTTTGTCACGTAGCCTTCTCATTCCCACTTGACCTTAACTGTTATAGGAAAAGCTACTAATCATAATAATTCTAAAATATTTGCCTTTCTAATTATATTGTGTTGGCAAAAATTAAACATAATGACATTTTTGAAAACACATTGAGAAGAGAGGGGAAATGATTTACATAACTTGCCAGAATTGGTTAAAGGAAGGCAATAAATGCTGTGAGGAAAAACTGCTGCAAGCAGTGTTACCTTCAGCCGTTTTTTTAAACAATTCTGGTAAACAGCCTCTGCTGGAACAACAGGTCTGCTTTTCATTTGGCCCCAAGGTCTGTGGGAATCAGTTTATTTGAATGTGCTCACACTGCCAGGCTTGGCATTGGGTGAATCATATTTATATGTGAGCATTTTTGTTTAGATCTGTAAGGACTTGGGCTCTTTTAACATTTACCTGGAATGTTCGATCTGGATAGAAGCGGAAAATACCAAACATGTGTCTGCGCAGCCTTGAGACTTCACAGGGCTCCGACGGCGCAGCACTCAGCTCGGTAAACACAGTTTCCTCCTGTGGCTCTTTGTTTGGACAGGAAACAAGGAAGCTGATCAAACAGCGGCTCAGAAGGCCACGGCCAAACCAAGCTGGAACAGAGTTGCAAGACTTTCAAAGCTCTGTAAATGGRGGGTGGGGGATAAATGTCACTTTAATGTGCAAATGTACTGGTTTGCAGCCATGCAGAGTGTCTCATTTGTACAATCTGTGCAATATTTTCTTCAGGCACATCCTGCAGCTTTGATAATCTCATCTCTAACATGTACCAGTATCACTGACACAGTGAGATTCAGTGTTAGTGACTGTCTGCGTCCTGCAGATTTACTAATCAGACCTGATGTAGTGATACTGTCTGAGCAGCAACGCATAAGAATTAACTGGATGGATGGTGGCTGATTAGGGAGGAGGAATAAAAATGCATAWGTGCTGAAATGTGAGTGTGTATGAACCCTTCTCCAGAAAAAGGCGGCCTCGTGGGGTCCGAATGTGCATCATGGGGACCAATGCCCGATCCCATGGGTACGAATGCTAATTATGGGTGGGAGTTTAGGTTTAGGACTAAGGTGTGAATTGAGTTTAGGTTAGTTTTGGGGTCAACTAGGTACCTGTGAGGTTAGGGCTTGTGGTCAGGGTTAGACTGTAGAAAATAATGGTAATCAATGCCAGGTCCCCATAAAGATAGCTGTTACCTAATTGTGTGTGTGTACGTGTGCGTGCGTGCGTAAGTGAGTGTGTGTGTGTGTGTGTGTGTGTGTGTG